TGGAGGAGCAGTAGCTCACAATATCACGACGATCCCCACTTGTCTCTTTGTTGACGACGGCCAGACCTTTTTTCCTTGGCTCCCGCGCGCGGCTCGAGCTTGCCTTTGGTCAGTTTGCTGTTGGGACCAACGGTGCCTGGTACCGGTACCGCTTTCTGGTGGTAACACAGAGAGAAGCAGCCGTATCCATATGGCATTCCTTGAATGCAGGATCTCTGAAGCTTTTAACACGGTGCGGTATGGTAAGGTGCGGTACAGGACAGTGGGCACAATAATCCTCAACGAAAAATTGTCTGCAAAAATCCTGAAAGACTGTCCACTGATAATTCAGAAGTAATACTCTAGAATACTGAGAGTGTTCGGGAGAAGTGTTCAGGAGAAGTGTTCCAGAGAAGTGTTCTAACTGGGCACTTCTAGTTGGTGCCTACCGTATACACACTCACTGTGTGAACTGGTACCTACTACTACCAGTACCTGGTCTGGTATTGTTCATTGGCAGCATCCCAGACCCATGGCCGTACCGTACCGGTATGGTACCTAGAGTCTACCGTACCGGTACGGTGCGATTTACCACCAACAATCGGTTCCCGTACTAGTACTGGTACCTACCACCGACAATCGCTTTTTCCCAACGGTACGTCTGGCTTATTATTATTTTTATTATTACTATTTCTCAGGATCTTTTATGTCAATTAAAATTAAATGTATTGTTTCAAATATTCGTCGTGGTCGCCGTGTCTCATCCTGCAAAGAAGAGACAACAATCAAGGGGAGGTACACTGTTGTGAGGCTCGTGGAAGAAACCATGTGATTAGAGTGACAGTCGAGTGACCACTCTCATGTTACGATGGGTTCCTCAAGATTCGTAGCCGCCACACTGTGGGTCCATTGGCTAATACTGCTCCTCGTTGCCTTACCTTCGATCCTTTCTTCCGATGCCGCCAATTATTTGTACGGCTCTCTACCAGCACAAGATTCCGATCCTGTCTTGGAATATGAGGCACCAGAAGTTGGCTCTGTTCTCAATGAGATGGGCGAAGACGCTGCTGCTCGTCCTAATTTTCTTTATTCTCCCCATGAGGGCAATCGAGTCGTGCTCTACTACATGCCTTGGTGTCCCCATTGCCGAGCCTATGTACCCACCTACATTGCGCTAGCACGTCGTGTAGAGGAGATCATCACTCAAGAAAGTCAATCATCATTCCAAAACAAAAAACTTTTGTCATCAGTAAGATTCTACGCCGTTTCATGTCAACCAAACCATCAAGTTTGCAAGGAGCAGCATGTCCACGGAGTTCCAGGAATCAAGATTTTTCGAGCGGGATCAGCGGATGGAGTCCCTGCCGACCCCAACAAGTTGCACCCATTTCAAATAATGAGAATTCTGGGAATTCCATTTGGGGGGACTGTGGAAGAGGAAGACTCGGCTAGACAACAACGCTCGTCCCTTAAAAAGGTCACTCCAACAATCAGCGACAAGACAAGGTTCTTCAAACGCAGCAAATCGGATCTCTACGGAGATGCCTACCGATCCTTTTATTTTGCCATGAAAACAGAGGTTTTTGTACAGAACGGGGTCCTACCAGAAGATTCCAAAAAGGCCCTCGCGGACTGGCTGCTGCTTCTGCAGGATACGTTACCTACAACTTGGAGCATTCAATTGCTTCTAGCAGACCTTGTCGCCAATTTTGAAACGATTACCCAAGACGAAAGCAATTTACTTGCTATTTTGGTCAAGTATCCACCCAAAAGCACAGAATGGAGTCCTTCCTGCACCAAAGGTGTGGAAGGCATGGGATATATGTGTGGTTTGTGGGGCCTTTTTCACATCATGACGGTTGGGATGGTGGAGTTTAATGAAAATGTCATTGCCGAGAATGAACAAGCATCATATCATACGGAAGAGGTGGCAAATGTTGTGAAAAGCTACATTCAACACTTTTTTGGATGCCTCGTGTGCCGGGAGCACTTTATTCAGTCCTTTGATTCCTGTGCATATGATCGATGCCACCGGTTGGTCAAGGTGGTGGGGGATGGCAAACAATTCTGGGTCCAATTGCCTTTGTGGCTCTGGCAGGAGCACAATGGGGTCAACGTGCGATTGCTACAGGAACGGGCAGAGGAGAAAGTTACAAGAATGGAAGAAGAAGTGGTGCAATGGCCTCTACGGGCGAACTGTCCCAAATGCTGGCAAGAGGATGGAACAATGGATGAGGACATTGTGTACTCGTATCTTCTGCAAGAGTACTGGCCTCCAGATACTTCTATCAGTGCAAGATCATTAGTAGACAAGGGAAAGGCAGAAAGCGAGGATACTGCCGATAAGTCGGTTCTGGCCATTCCCTTGGCTCTTTTGCTGCTCCCATTTATTGGCCCAGGATGTTTGTTGGTAATCAAGTTTCGAAAACGGAGGGAAAAGAAGAGAAGGGGGAGGAGCAAGAAACTGGACTTGTAATATAGTCCAGGACGAGACATTGCTAAAAGTATCTTGGTACTGGTATTGGTAGCATACCTTGCTACTTACTACCGAAGCTTGTGTGGTTGGATACTAAACAGGATTCTAGCCAGTGCTGTCTAGCTAGCGAGCGATGTCTAGCTAGCTAGCGGATATTCATATGAATTCAATGGTACCCATTTGCCAGATTCGATCATTCGATTGATTCGATTCGATTCGATTCGATTCGATCCAGATTGAATGAGAATCAGTAAGTTCCGATGGCAGACGAGTTTGGAGAGTGAAAAGGTCTCGGTATGCCGACTATTGGCGTTAGTGTAGTCGTTTGTCCAAGGGCGCTGCCAATAGAGAGCTGCCAGCTCTTGCACTTAAGAAAGTGGTTCCGTTGTCAATCAAAGCTGGCTTGCGTCCAGCAAAGGAGCGAAAAAGGAGCCAAGGACGCTGTTAGATTCGTCCCAGGTTTTGACAACATTGGAGCAACTTCTATGCATACGAAACGAAAAATAGAAAGTGGTAGCCACAGACGAGACGGGTACTAACAGAGTACAAGGGGCGAGTCGAGTCGAGTCGAGTCGAGTCGAGTCTGCGAAGGAGATCGGTACAGGAACAAGTAATAGTACTGCATTCTTCGACCATGGTTGTGGACTCAGCGACGCTGTTCTCCACAGAAAATTTGGAAAATGCAGGCGACATTGCCAAGATGAAAATGCTTGAGTTAAGAGCATCGGTCAAGACTGGAGACTGGTCCTTGCGTCTACTGGCTCTTCTGGGTGGTGTGGCCCTGATATTCACCGCCGTCTTGGAGTTGGTGTCGAACATATTGAATTTGAACGTGCTCGGAGCGTTAATCGAAATTTACGTCATATTTCTGGGAATCATTGTTCTAGTGTTGGAAGGCAGTCAAATCTCGCTTCCTCCCAAGTTCCTGCATACCCTACACAAGTACGCCCTGTTTCTCAAGTACATTTGGGGCCGAGGACTGCTGTACTTTGTTGCAGGCTCTTTACTGGTGACTGGCATGCAATGGATGGACTACATTGTTGGTGGATTCATGTGTCTGGTGGGGGTTCTATACGTCTGTGTGGGGCGATCAACCACAAATAAACTCAAAGAGATGCGACAATCAGAACTTTCGGAACGAACGCTGCGTCAGAGCTTTACCGAAGTCGACCCTGAAGGTACTGGATTGATTGGGCTCGACCAATTCCGTGCTCTGACGAATAGCATTGGGCTTGATATGAACCGGCGCCAGTCAGAGGCAGCCTTTCTGCATATCGAAAAGGTGGATAACGATCAAATCACATTTGAAGAACTATACACTTGGTTCATTTCTTGGGACGATTCGTAAGTAACAACCGCATTTTTGCCTTGGCCTCTATGCTCTGAATGGATTCTCATTTGTTGCTCTCCTTCCTATCACCTCGTCACAACAGCGATGCCATTAGTAGAGCCGGCAATCAAATGGGCCCTGACTTTGTCTGAAGAATCAAACGGAATACAAACCATGAAAGCAATCCACTAGTCACCGTGCTCAGTCTGCCTGCAAACCAAGGCAACCAGTCTTTCGATTTTCCTTGTAGTATTCTTTCTTGTTTCTCCCTGCTTGCAACATATTCATCCTTGTTCTTTCTGGTTGACAAGCAATCCTCTTAGCAGAATTACATTATGTACCTTGATCACAGCCAGCCCTTTGTGCTGTTGGTCATGTCACATGGACAGGCAGCTGTAAACATAGTACTTAATCTCTTTGTTTTGGGTTTTTGCCACCTGGATGGTTTTGTCTACAACGCAGGGGACGAAGTCATCCTCCAAACTATATAGCTAGGCCATTCGGTACTGGCAGTCACTGTTGGCCATGCCATGACCATATTGTGTGCATATTCTCTATATCTTGCACACCCATTCCCATAGTAGTGATGGCTGATTTCTGGTCTAGAGCTATTATAGCTGGTACTATGGTGTTGGTCGAACCCGTCTTCCAGGTATGGTAGGTCCAAGAGCTGCTTCAGGTGTTCGTCATGGTCATGACGATTGTGTGGGCTGGAATCCAGCCTGGTTTAGGCTTTGGGCTCAGGTGTTAGACTGGATAGGTGCTTCTAAAGGAGTGGCCTGGGCAGACATCTTGGTTTTACGCCAAGTGTTGGTTGAGTTAGACAAAGGTCAAGGGTCAGTAGTCTCGCTAGCTATCTAGCTGGCTAGGTACTCGTATCGTACCGTAGAAGTGGACAAGGAAGAACAAGCCCGGAGATAGAATCAATCAAGATTCAATCGAATGATTCGCGAAGCTGTTGCATCGTTTCAACTAACTGAAACCTCTCTCAATTTAAATAATTAATAATGCTTTATTGTATTTTTCACAAACCCGCGATCTCAAAGATTTATGCATGCTCGGGCTGGCCCGCTCTCGCCTAGGATCTTTGGATCCCAAACGAAAAGGCAATGCCATGTATGTGAAGAAGCACGGAAGAAGTGCATAAATTATACCCATTGTCTATTGTTGTTGTGAAAGAAACTTCTGTGTTGTAGCCATCATGACGCGACCATTACTACGGAGCCTCGTGTTGTTGTCGCTGGTGTTGCAGGTCGTTGCGTCGGGAGTCGCTGGTGAAGAGCATGAAGAGCATGACGATCACGAGTTCTTGTACGCAAATCCACAAGCGAACGCACCGGTGATGGATTTCCTCCCCGCTACTGGACGCTGGCCCAGTCGAGGAGACTTTCGGCACTCTAGGAATGCCAAAATGGTGGAATTTTACAATCCATTCTGCGTAAGTTTATTTGGGAAGGGTAGCGATGGTTGGGCATTGTTTTCTGCTTTGTTGCATGGCTGTATTATCTTTGGTCTTCTGATAGGTTCTTTTGCTTCTGTTAATTCTCATGACAGGGTGCTTGCCAATCTTACAAGCCAACCTACTTGAAATTGGCTAGAGCCTTGAAGGATAGAGTGGGAGATCACATTGATATTTTTGCGGTATCCTGTCAGGTACACAAGGAGCTCTGTGACCAATTCAATGTCGATGAATTACCCATAGTAGCACTCTTCAAGGCAGGTGCTGCAACACCCGACAATCAGCGATCCTTAAGGGTTCCCGAGAAGAAGCCTGATTTCATTCTCAATTACTTGTTTCAACACAAGGAAACAGCACGTGCTTTGGAGGAGGAAGACGGAGAAGCAGCGGGTGAAGAGAATGAAGAAGACAACAACAATGAGAGTGAAGACGAAAATGATGATGGAGGAGGAAATGAGAACAAAGAAAGCGGAGAAGAAGATGAAGACGACGACGATGACAAAGAAGGGGAAGGAGGAGGAGAAAATGAGAATGAAGATAACGAAGGCGAAAACGATGCGCAGGAAGGCGGAAATGACAACCAAGAGGAAAACGACGATGGCGCTCAAGGTGAAGAAGGGGCAGGTGCAAATGAGGAAGAAAACGGTGACGACGAATACGACAGAAAGGGAAATGGCAAGCCAGTAGATGGCGAAGAGGTAGAAGTGGTAGATGGCGACCAGGAGGTACAAGAGGAGGAGGATGAAGAGGAGGAACAACAACAAGCAGATGTCTATGAGGATGAGACGCAGCTTGATCGAGACGCTGCAGAAGCCAACCGAGACTGGTTTGAAAACCTTGCTTTTGATGCACTAAAAGGATCCGGACGATTGGAAGGTCGACTGGGTGGAGATGGAGCTGGGGGTGACCCCATGGGAATCATAGCGATGAGGAGAGGGGCTGCAGGTGCTGGAGCGATCGAGAAATTAAATCATGCCAGTGACATGGATCGTTTCCGTGAAGCCATGATGAAGCGACAAAGTCAAAAGATCAGCAGCGTCTTTCGCCGCGAATCGCCGGGAGCCGCCGCATCAAGGCTGAAGGAAGAAAAAATTGACAGAACAACGGGTGCAACCCACGCAATGAAAGCCCACACACCTGGGACACCTGAATACGAGCTACGACAGAAAAAGATGGAGGCACACATGAATACCGTTATGAAGCAAAAGCGCCTGCGCACAACAGCCCCCGCGATGAGGACCTTTTCCGCTGGTGCTGGGGGTGTTTCCAGAATTGAACTCCCTAGGAACCACAAACCACTCATGCCATACAAAAAGGAAGTCAGGAAGCAAAAGCTTGTTCATGAAATGGCGGGAAAGGTTCCCATTGTAAGGCGTATGGTCAAGTTGTCTCATGAAGAGGCTTTGATTCTGGACGCGTCCTTGTCCTTTCACAACGCTTTAAAAACAGGGTTATTCAGCGATGATAACCCGCTTTCAAAGCACAAGAAACGGGCATTCCAGACATGGCTCGATTTGCTTAGAATCTCCCTTCCTCCCGAGTGGGGTCTGCATGAAATGATCATGGACCTCGACAACAACATCGACTTTATATCACAGAGCGACAAGAATCTGCATCGATTTCTTAAAAAGCATGCGCTGCCTCGACATGAATGGAGTCGCGGCTGCACGAAGAATGGACACGACAAGAGGAATGGTTTCAACTGCGGCTTTTGGAAGTTACTTCACGTTGCCAGCGTGGGTATTGCAGAACATCGCGGTGGAATCAACCTGATTGAGGCAAACCTTGTCAGCCACGAAGCACGGGTATTCTCACCTCTAGAAGCTGCTGATGCCATGAAAGAATTCATCGCAAATTTCTTTCCCTGTCAATCGTGTAGGAGCCATTTCGTCGCTGATTACGACGAATGCAGCAACAGGAGATGTGTGCGACTCACAGATTCTACCGAAGATGCCTCGTTTGCGGACTGGCAAGAGCTGTCCAAGTGGCTTTGGGAGGTTCACAACAGCGTCAACATCCGACTCTACAACGAAAGAAACAAAGAGAGACATGTTTCCATCCATGATGAGGTTTCTGCCCTGTTCCCATCGGTCGAAGACTGCGTTAGCTGCTTTCTTGACGATGGAGGGTACGATGAAGAAAGCATCTTCCTTTTCCTGGAAAATGAATACTGGTGAGTACGATGGAGGTTAGTCCTGTATTCTTTTCTCTACTTCTGACGTTTGCTTACATACGATTTCTCAGGCCCGGGGCATCCGACATTGATCCTGCCGCTGACAAGCTGCTCACTTTCCATAACGTCGAGTATGCTGGTTTCGTCTCTTCTTGGGTGATTCTTCTCGTCGGGATCGGGCTCATCTATATGCTGCGACCGAGGGGTGTTTTGAAAGGACAAAAAACGCGAAGTGACTAGGCTTTCATACTTATTTCGGCATATTGAGTCTAGCTACCGGTAGCGATCAGGCCAGTGTTTTAAAGGGTGTGACATAACTCTGTTCTTGATGACGAACTTGCTACCGACGTCGTGTTGAATACATCTAGGCTTCACTTCTCCTTGATGTTGGAAATTCAAAGTACCGTCATTCCTCTTCTGGTCCTGGTTTCGTTTAACAGCGGATACTGCTTCTCGTTCACATCGACACCTACCGGCGAGGCCGGGCAAAGATGCGAATGACCAACGTAACGCCGTCGAAGAGGCAGCCCGTCTGGTTTTTTAAACCGTTCGATTCGATTCAGAGTATCGATTGACCACCAGAAGCCAACAAGGTTCTCTGGGCTGACGTGACCAGCTAGTAATCTCGTTTCTTGTGACGACCTGTCTTCCACAAGTCGCTTCTCTTTTTGTAAAAATAGGCTATCGTACCCAGCACAATCAAAACTGGAATGAACTTGAGAGCTGTTCCCATGAAGGAACCTTCACTTTCCAAATCATCTGGTTCGGCGTTGATTGTTGACTGAAACAATGCCCGTCGCGTCACTTGAGAGGTTTTTCCATCGTCCGGCCAATACTGATCAAACATAAAGAGATACATAATCCCTTCGTCCCAGGATCCATCTGGGTTCCAACATTTGGGACAGTCGATCCGAGAAGGCCATTGAACGTTCATTTCATCTAGATGCGTCGTTGGCCGCTTGTCTCGTTCTGCTTGCTCTTTCATCAATCTGACATTGACGGCATTGTGCGTTTCAAACAGCCAAATTGGGAGTTGCTTCCAGGCGGCCAAGTCTCCCACTTGATCCGATAAACGATTGCACCGATCCAAGGCGCAGTTGTCAAATGCATGAAGGAAATTCATTCGGCAGACATCGCAACCAAAGAAGTGTTCAATGTAATTGCGCAAGTCATTGGCGACTTGTTCCGTGCGAAAGAACGAATATCCATCATCATTCACAACTTTCTCATTGTACTCTACCACACCGACCGTCATGATATGAAATAATTCCCATAATCCACAAGTGTACCCCATGGCTTCCACACCCTTTGTACAGGAAGGACTCCATTCTTTGCTGATTGGTGGGAACTGGTCAATCACTTCGAGCAATTGATCTTCCCCTTTGATAATGTGGTCAAATTCTTGCAACATTTTCTTAATGAGTGGATGTATATTCCACGTTGGCGGTAATGTGCTTTGTAGTAGTTCCAGCCAATTGTACAAGATTGGGACTGTTTTGTTGGGCAATGGTCCATTGGCCATAAAGACGCCGGTCTTCATTGCAAAGTGGAAGGATCGATAGGCATCGGCATACAGATCGGCCTTGGACCGTTTTTTGATGGATGGCAGGTTGAGAACAAACTTTTTGGCATTCTGTCCTTTGCTCTTTAGATTTCTCTCCTCTGCGCTTTCAGCAGCAGGGTGTTCCTCTTCAGCAGCGTCGACTGGATCAATATTGATCCCAATATCCCTCAAGACTTGAAAGGGATGCAGATCAAAATACTTGGTCACAGTGGCATTGCTAGATCCAGCTGCAAAAACCTTTACCGTCGGATATCCTCGGACATCTTGCTGTTTGCACACCTTTTTGTTGACAGTACACGACACGGCATAAAAATCTATTTGAATTCCGTAGGGTTTGACAATTTCATTCATTCGCCGTGCAAATTTGACATACTTGGGCGCAAAGTGCTGGCAGTGAGGACACCAGGGACTAATAATAATTCGACGGCAAGCGAAAAAGGCAGTGAGTGAGTTAAGCTGGAATCAACATCATCTGCACCTTTTAAAAACAGATTGATCACCACTTACGCGTAAAACTCGACAACCCTCGCCACAGCGGCTGGTCCAAAGGTAGAGTAGAGAAAGTTGGGATGATACAGCGCTGACCCACCCATGTTGTTTTTGGTTTCGTTGTTGAGCGGAGGAGCATAATCAATAATGGGAGAGGATTCCTCCCGAGGCATTACTCGATACAGATATTCCGCATCGCTCTTCTTGCCCTGGCACGGAAGTGGAAGCAACAAAAATGCCGAGGCGAAGAACAAAATGGACACCATTCTAGCAGCAGGTTTTTCATCCCTTCGCCGTCTCATTGTCCCTCCACTTCTTTTCGTAGTGATCATCCTTTTTGCTGTCTAGCTAGCTAGGGGCTAAGCCGTCCAAAGTAATGGTCCGAGCTCAAGGAGTTTGGCTTCTGTGCTTTGCGTCCGTCGCCGTGGCTTTTTGGTTTTGGCCGTTTATGATGACCATTTCTTCCTGTGGCCTCTTCAATCCAGCTCGTGACTGCTTGACAACAAGGAAAAGATCTTTGCTCTTTTTACCACAGACAGCCAGGTGTAGTAGAAGAATGATCCCTGGGACTTGGAAGTTGAAGAAGAGATCAATCTATGCTATCCAGCTACACGTAGGCATTGTCTTTGCTTGGACGGAGACAATGAAGATAATGGCAACTTGATTGATGCATGGTACCAATATGGTTTGCCAAGTGAGCTGAGACTATTCCATACCCATACTTTTGAAAACCGTAAAGATGCAGGCAATCATTGCCTTCCTGGCCCCGTCAGTTCTATTCTGTGCTGACTTCAAAGGAAGTTGGGCGCACACTGGGAGTATGATGGCTTCGGCTAAATATCTTATTTCTTCTATCTATATTTTAAAAACTCTGGCTGGCTGCAGGTCAAGCTCCTCCCACTTTGCTGGACTGAGTGGAAGTCAAACCTCTTTTCTGGAAGCAAACATGCACTGCTGTTTGTCAGCATCTCTGATATTCTGTTCTTCAACCATTTGTGTTGCTGCTCTTGCTACTATCACTGCTAGCTTTGCTTGCATTCAGTGCCTTCAAGCGCCATTCAAATTCATCAGCCTTGATCTTTCCACAGAAAAGTTTGCATTGAATTTGATGTACAGGCCAGTCAGACAGCTGACATTCCTTGCCGCAATACTCACGCATAGTGCATTTGGAGCACCACATGGTATTTGTAGTCAGCTTGGCACAGTACTCACAAGCTCGATTTTCAGGCAGCTCTAGCACCTTCGTTTTGTACTCTGACAAACAGCCACATGGCACCTTCTTGTCCAAGTATGTGACTATATCCTGATAGCTCCCAAAATGCTTAACTCTACACCACCTCACTGGAGACCACTTTTCCCACAGCTGATGAATCCCATCGTTGAGTGAGGGTTTGCCAATGCATTTGTCAATGTACCCTGCTGCAGCAAAAGCCGCCGTGGCTTCAGGCACCTTGGAACAATTCATTGAATCGGTCCATTCTTCTAGAAAATGAGTGGCTGCAAGGCCATAAAGGAACTGGCCCATGCCTGGTTGGTCAAAAACATGATGGTCTAGATGGAGCGACTGCAGCAAGTGCGCGGTGGTGCCGCTGTCACAATCGGCGAACAAGTCGTCCAGGAAAGCCTCCAGGGCATTGCCACCCACAGCATCAACATATCCTGCTGGAATTCCATGAAGGCATAGACCATTCTTTTCCTTGTTGGTCAGTTGTTCTGACAATGTTGGGGCTCGACAGAAAGTGTTGCTGTTGTTGTTGTTGCTGTTGTTCTTGTTGCTCTTGTTGTCATTGTTGCTCTTGTTGTCATTGTCATTCTTGTTGGCCACGGCAGGAGCCTTGCCCTTCTTCCGGCCTCCTTTTTTCTTGCTGCTTCGGCGGCTCTTCATCTTGTCCCAGAGCAATCACAATGTGAGACGGTACGACCAATGACAAACAAGAGGACGACTTTCAAGCCGCTCAACTTGAAAAATTGTCTCCTCTCCTGTTTTGGCGTCGAGCCGTTGACGATGTTTCGATTTCGGGCAGGGAATCCCGAATAAAACGTGACTTACTCGAAGATCCAAAATCCGTTGTGATTTCGAGTCTCGAGGCACAATGAGCAACCTGGCTATAGTAGTCGGGGATGCAGCGGCGACCAAACAAGACCGACCTTATATTGTTGCCTTTAACAACTAAGTTTCACGTCACTGTAGCCGTACGAGCTACTCTGCTAGACGACGTCTAAATTAGCGACTGATACGAGCAGAAGAAGAGTGTTCTTTGGAGACGATGAGTGAGCAAAAGGCTGAGGCGGAAACCAAGGCGGAAGATGCTGCTGTGGTTGGAGTTGGAACCCAAGCGATGGTGCCATCAACGTCTTCCACAGTTTCCACATCATCCTTTGAGAATTTTTTGAGGAATACTCTGTTTGATTTGCACGCCCGTTCCGAAGTAGAATCGACCGTCAAGGATCTCGTGACCGATGTCGAATTCGCGGTCAAGTTGCAGGATCAGTTGAGCATTCGGACACACCAGAGCCAAGCAGAACGGATCATTGCAGAACAGGAATTGGCTCTCAAAGAGACTCATGTCGTGCAGAAAGATCGACTCGATTCTCAGACTCTATTGGCAGATGCCATGGTGATTGACTTGTGGACGTTGAGCAAGGAGCTAGGGAGTCTTTTGGAATTGAAACAAAAGCACGAAACCATGATCTTCGAATACGACGAATTAGTCGCCAAATTGGCACAGGCAGAAGAAGATCTCCATGCAGCACGGAACGCCAAAGCGCAACAACCAGCTCAGCAGCAACAACAGCAGCAGTCACAACAACAACCTACGGCGACAGCACCCACGACACAGCCAACTCCCACTGTCGTGGCTGTCCCACCAGAGAAACCCGCGGATTCGCCCTCGGATGCAACGACAAAGACAGAATCATCCGAAAAGACGCCCCCACCCGCTGCTGCTGCTCCAGTTCCTGCCGCTTCTGTTGCTACTGCTGATACTAGTAGTGCCCTGTCCACAGAACCCGCCCAGGCTGCAACCGCCCCTGCAGAACCAAAAGAACCACCCAAACAAGCGGAAGAACCCAAAAAGCCACAGAGCCCGGCCCCTGCTCCAGTAGTGGCACTGGTAGAAGATGATCAAAACAACGGTGGACCACCGGTTACACTAGAAACCATCGACATGGAAATCTTGATGAGGATCTTTGGCTTTCTGGACGCGTATGATATTCTCAACACCGCCCAAGTCAACATTAGCATGTATTCGCGTGTCGATTCGCTCTTTGGCTTTGGAATGGATGCGCACATGCAACAAGATGACAATGTCAGCACCACTTCCACCTTGGCTACCACTCCCACGGTAGCAGCAGCGACGTCCACCCCGACAACCGCATCCGTGTCCACGGCAGCATCGAAAAAGGCCCCGCCACCGGCTGCCAAAGCCCCACCTCCAGCCGCCGCCAAACCAACCGAACCACAATTTGGACAGCGTCTGGTGGGCGGTGGGCGCAACATTCTGAACCTCCTACAAGGAGGCCGTGGTGGGGATGCCAATAATGAAACTGCCGGCAAACGAAATCAAAGCCCCAAGCGGCGGGGTGGTGCCGGGGCCGGAGGAAGAAGTGCTGGTGATGCCAATGACAGCAAGCCTCCTCTAAGCGAGGCAATGGCGCACTCCATGGCGGCCAAATTGAATGACGCGGAAATCAATGCCATCATATCCATGACGGAAAAGTTGCGTTCCAAAGAAAAACAGGTCGCGTTGCTAATCAAGGAAAAGGAAGAGCTGGAAGGAAAGCTGAGCGGTTCGGAAGCTGTCAAAGAATTCCTCATCACCAAAGTCAGAGATATGGAGAAGATTGTCAACAAGAACGATGAGACGGAGAAAAAAGTCACGCAACAAATTGCCAGCGATCAGGAAGTCATTGCATTCTTGGACGGCCGCGTGCAAGAGTTGGAACGTAGCACTCGTGTCATTCAAAAGGATAAGAACGCAATACAAGACAAGCTCAAGGCGGTTGCCTCTCAGAACGATAAGAAGGTTGCAGTTCTCAGCGACATGCTGCAATTCGAACGACAAAAGCTGAAAGAGAATGAACGAGAATGGAAAGCGACAAAGAAACTGCTAGTAAAGGAGGTGAAAGGGTGTCGGGCACAAATTGTGGCGCTGCAAGCAGAGCGGGATGGATTCAGGGAGCAAAATGATGCGCTAAGAAAAGCCGTGATGGCAGGTGGCTCTTCCAACGGAGGAAGGTCATCGAGTCCGCATCGATAAGAATTGCTGGCGCAGGAATTTTGCTGTTCAAGCCACAATACTGTTGTAAACCTTACAGCTGTTACTTAGCATGACACTTCGAGCAATCGATTTTAAAAGTTTATTCTAGTTTCTTCGTGCTGCTCAAAGTTGCCGGTTACAACAGTACCGGTACCTGTAAGAGTTTCTGTTCGTAGGACTACGGCTCAATGTTTTTAAGTACCCTGGCAAGAAGTTTTTCAAAGCACGTCTTGTCCTTCTTCCCACAACGATCCTGATGTTGCGACATCCAATTCGAGGACGCCGCTTCTTCACCTTGTATCAGTGGCATACCTAGCAGTATGGTTTCAATGGCCTCTGCGCAAATCGCCGCGATGGGTTGGACCTTGTCCTGGTCGAGTTCGTGCGCACCGGACAAGTCGCCAACTTTGAGGAAGAGATCCAAGAGGGCAGTTGATTGTTCTGCAGATATCCCACAATACGGTTTCAAGATATCCGCGTAGCTTTGGTTGCCATCAGGCTTTCCTGGCAACCCAGTAAACTCTTCACACTCTTGCTTCAGCTTGTCCAGAGTCAATGGCTGTTGTGGTTGTTTTGGAGCCATTGAACTCTTGTTTTCCCACGTGCAAGCCGCTGGGAACCATTGCAGTCTGGTACATGCCAGTATCGATCGAATCATGGAGAGCGAGTGCTGTCGCATTGCCACCGGCAAGAGTACCGCGTTGGATTGGTGTTGTAACAGGAAAACTTTCTTGGTTGTGCCGTCATCAGTGTTCGCTCGCTGCCACAAATCAGGGCACACCTGTTCAAAATTTGCCAGTCTGACAAGCTCCACTGGTGTCATCCGCACCACCCAGGCATGAAACCAAGTAGCGGTTGGATCTACCAACGCCAAGAGATGTGCCGGGTACACCAATGTTTGTTGCTTGTTGTTCTCATTGTCATGAATATTATTTGTACTAGTAGCTTCGTGGCCCATATCCCTGCTTAACCAAAGAACTTTGTATCCCATTGTGCCAATCGACCCAATATCCTCATCGACTCCCACGGGTAGTTGCAATAAATCAATCCACATATCGTACCACAAGCTCCAGAGATCAATGAGATACTCTTGCGCTTTGGTAAAGTTGTCGTCTTGTTGTAATCTCCAGGAATCTGCGCTATTCCAATTGTTCACGACAACCTTGATAATGGCATTCAGCACATTGTGACATAAATCACAACGAGTTGGTAAGTGATCCCCAGATGCCCGCCCCTGATCAAACCATTTTCGATGTAGCATCCAAAAGCCCTCAATCAGCTGTTCCTCTACTACGGATGCTTGAGGATCCGTCACGGTTTTTGTCGATTCTTTCAAGATTGGCAACACGTCCTTCCAATCGAGCATCAAGTCATCGACATGCGGTACCCTTTGTAGCACGGCGAGTCTCTCCTCCAAAGTTGTTGCCGCTTGTATTTCCTCTATTGTGATTCGAGGTGCTCCCATAGACCTTGGTCCATTTGATCAAACAGCGAAAAGGACTTTTTTTGTACTTTTTGCTTGGCATCCACATCAGTTGGAGCAGGCTCTGGTTGTTTCTGGTTCTCGGCGGCTCGTGCCTTCCACTCTGTGACGGCTCGTTCCAATCCTTTCTCATAAATACTCCTCACGGCAGTGTCGTTATCACGATCAGTGTCATCCTTGGCTCTTAGTTCCTGCTGGATCTGCAAGCTGATCCCCTCGAATTGGACAATTTCCTCCATCCATTTTCCAATCTGGGCATCTTCTGCGGGAGGACCATTGGGATAGAGCAAGAGAAGGTTGTCGACTAATGCCTCGCAAATCCTGTCCTCTGCAGTGGGGCCTCCATAGAACACATCCTCCGTCATGGTCTGCTGTTTCCAACTTTGGATGCCGGCGACCTGTTGGTGTATGTATGTGTGCTCTTCAAGGTGCTATTCCTGCCGACGAGCGGATCTTGGATCTTTCGCTCCATCCAACCGTTATAAAATGTTAACGTTTGGCATTTTGGAAAGTTCTGGTGTAGCTCTTCCAGTTTGTTTATTAGAGCCAGTCCAGACTCATTTCGAAGCACACGGAATCGAAGTCCAAGAATCCAAGAATCCAAGTTTTTTCCATTCAAAAACCTCAAATCGTGACTGGGATGAACCTTGGATCCAACCCCCAGGCCACTCGCAAAATCGAAGTGGCCTGGCCAGGAGATTGAAGTTTGGGTCCAAGTTTGTCAAACCCCAACTCTATTGCGAGTTTGAAATGGAAAAACTCGCAGTTCTGCGATTCTAGAGCGTATTCAACATCATACGTTGACTGCTGTGTATGGACAACAATCCATGTGCAACATGGCACGCATCATTAGGATAAACACTATAGATGATGATTAGATAGAGTTAGCCAGTCTGTTTGTGTATTGTTTCTTCAGTTAGATCGCTAGCTTGCATGTAAAGGGAGCGAGTTGTCTTCATTTTGACTGCTTCCAAGCACTTGAATTGTTTTTCTTTTGTTGTTGAACTGCGACCATGGCCTCTGCTGAAGGTTCCTCCCCTTCCATGAGTGATGATGAGCATGGTAGAGACTCCTCTGTAGGACAACCATGGCAGGCTGACACTGCAGATGCCTCTGCCGCTGGAACTGTCCCCCCCAGACCACCACCGGAAGTTCTGGATTCGTCCTCTGAAAAACAACACAATTCAACTGAAACTTGCAAGACAGCTCGCGAGATGTATCTTGAGTCTGGCAATGACAAGTCAATGCTGTTCTGTCTCTGTCTAGGAATGGAATCAGAGGATGGCGAACGCAAGCTTGGAGACTTGACTGTGGAGCCTTACTCAAAGATGGCCAAGAAAAACCAAACAAAATTGAAGGTACAGAATGCCGTCCTCGCCAAAGAGGTTGTTCGCCGAGGAATCCAGATGGCATTGACTGGAAGAAGCAAGGTGCGACCCAACAACTGGAAGCAAGACAGGCTTGTCAAGTGGCTGCAGGATAATCCAATCCAGGATAATGCCTGCGTTTTCTTCCTTCGGCAAACTGAGAGCATTTTGTCAAGCAACGGAGAATCACCTCCAAGCATCGGTCGCTCAGAAGGAAGCTGATATATCCTCCGGTAGCAATGATGCTAACGAGCCATGGCGCAACAAGCTCCTTCCCAATCTTCGCATGATCATTGCAGCCCATCATGACGATGTTCGAAAATTCTTGCTGGAGGAAGGGACTGTTCTTGATCGTCAAGAACTGGATGCAAGAAACAGAGATGATCGGCCAATGACATTCTGGGAGGCTCTTGCCCAAAAATACAATGATGACTTCTGGGTGGCAACTAGCGAAGTCCTCCCTGAGCTTCACCTTGATTTTGTTATTGAACATGACATTTTCTTGACGGATTGCCCTGGGAAAGTTACTGCGGATTTCATCAAGCGTCAGTGGAACCAAGCCAAGCTAAAAACAAACAAGATCGTTAATGCTTGGGAGCGAAGTGGGAACGGCTATGGTCAAGTTGCACTACGCTAAAAGCTAGTGTAAAGATCTTTCGAGTGTTTTGAGTTTGAGAGAAAGAAAGTTATGAGAGAGATTAGAAAGCTATGAAAACTAATCAACGAGAGAGATCATCAATCAAGGATCGTAGATCTGGTTTCCGCGGGAGACTATAAAGTGTGATAGAGTAGGTTGCGGTAGTAATCCTACGTCTCTCCAGATCCTAAAACGGAACGCTGGAAGGTTTGTCTAGCCTGGATCTAGTAGCGTGAAGTACTCCATGCTGGCTAATATATTATAGCGATGTTTATCATCATCTCTCTCTTTTTTT